TTATACGATGTTATTAATATTAAACACCAACACAACGAGAATTACATAGCACATGATAAATCCACACCGATACTTTTTAAAGTACAAGAAAGAGAATGAGACAATGGACGCGGCTCGGAAGGGAGTAACATTCTCGAAAAGCAGAGTGTACGATGACAATCGCATATATATATATATATGCACACACAATGCAAGTAGAGGTGCACTTCGTGACCCAAAAATGACTGCAACCGAATGCCACGAGTGCTCGGGCCGCAAGGTGCGGCGGAGACTACGAAATTCATGGTGCGCTAATCAATAATGTATTTAGTGTGCGAAACTTCGTGCCGGGATATATTCCAGTTGGGGACCACCACACTGGCGAAAGGTGGTGCCTGAGCATTGTTCTGCGGCATCCAGGCCCGTGTCCGGCGGTCGGTCCGCTACGTAAAGTCCTGCGGAATAATTACGAGTTTCGCCATTGAATCAGGAATGTACCAAACAAGGCAGAAAGCCGACCTGCAATTCCATTATTAATTCAATTAGTGCTAGACGCATACTGATCGCGAGATTAATGCATCCCGTGGACCATAATCTCATTTCGCCATCTGAACGACTGAAGCCAACTGATATCATGTTCGGTATACACGGGGTGTCTCAGATTGAGTGTAACTTCCCGCAAATACGACTTTTATTGTATTAATTCCTGAACCTATATAATAAAAATACTCAGATGTTCTTGGTAATTTTTTAAAGTACGCTGTAGAATTAAGAATACTTAAAAAATTTAATTTTGAGTAATAAAAAAATTTGAGAAACGAAATATTATTTTATATTTAATTATAAACCGATTTTTCTTTAATTAGTTTTCAAGATATACTTAATTACCGAATATTTAACAAATGTTTGAAATTTAAACAGACTGCGATAAAAATTGAGAAGTTGAATCGAAGAATCAATAGATGAAATAAAGATGCAAAAAATGAATCTAAACTTTCGTGTATAAATCTGTATTTTATATTAATATCGATTTGGAATGGTATTTTGGCAACTATAGTTTCTATCAAACAAGAAATATTTGAGAGAAGCACGGCGAATATAATGTTTCGCTTTGTGATGTTAATAATTTTGATAATTTAATTTTAATTATTTAATAATTTAATTTAATAATTTTAATAATTTAAAAATATTATAATTTTAATAATTGATACGTACAATAATTTAAAAATATTATGATTTTAATAATTGATACGTCAATAATTTCTAATTTTAAATAAAATTAGTAAGTTTAAATATTAAAATATAAAAACAGAATTAAAAACGTACATGTAAATAACATGGATAAATATTAAAAACGTTCATATTGAACAAATTGAATAAATAAATGAGCGAGTTCGTCGATAGCGCTAAGTATAATTCGCAAAAATTTAAATCATACACCTTACTCCATTAGCACCAAAATGTGCATAACGAGACGAGAAGCTGTTACTTGATAATGATTACAATTATTAACCTTGTGCAAACGAACATAATTTTTTTTTCGCATATGCTTAAACTGTGTGCGAACTTCCACAAACCTTGTGCAAGATTCACAGTCCAGATGTACGTTAGAAATGAGGAAGTGAGTATTCGACACCGAAATTATAACTCTACGTAACAGTGTTAAAAATTAAAAAAAAAGTACTATCACAAAGTTAAAAGATACATGGTTAAAAGTATACCTAACGATAGAATACGAAACGATCGAATTACTCGATATTTGCTTGCGCGCGAAAACCAATGAAGCGATCGCAAAATTAAAACAGCTCGTAAACTAAAGAAATGAACAGACACCGACGTGTATTCCCTTTTTTTTATCAATACATTGATCGTCCCGCGAGTTCCGAATGAACAATATCCGAGGTATCGCGAGTGCGCTCGATGAAACTCGGAAAATATCATTCCAGTATCTAAACATTGAAACTATTTATTTTACAGAATACGTTATTTATTTTATAAAATAAATTTAAGTGTTGCACAGCTTTTTCCCTCCGATCATTTCTCGTTAGTAAGAATTCGTTAGTAATAAAAGCTATATAAATACATGTAATTAAAATCAAGATCATTGATTAAAAGTTAAATAATTATTTAAACGAATAAACATAAGAAATAAGTAAATAACCGAGAGACAAAGAGAGAAAAATATTATAAATCAATTAAAAAGAGATAAAATGAAATTATTAATAATCTCTTTATACATATATGTATAACCAAATTGATTTTTTATTTCTAAAAATTAAAAATGTTAAGTACGAAATGTTCAAACCGATGACTAAATACGTGATGAAATTTTCGTTAAGTTTTGAAATATTTCAGGAATTATGTTATGATGCTGGTTCTCTCGATATGGTACTTTATGAAGTCAACACATGTATCAGGAGTGAGAAATATTACACACGGTATATCGAAGCATATACGATCTATCGGATTTCCCGAGGGTAGCAATACAGGGGTATAGTGGATCAATCATTCATTTTTCATCTACTAATGCGTCTTAGACTATGCAAGCAGTCTGTTAACTCAATATTAATCATTTGCACTTCAAGTAAAGTGTGATCTGCAAGTAAAATTAAGAAAAACTCAAAATAAATATTTGATTTGATATAATGGCAATTTCTATTCAAAAATATTGAGAGATTTTTATCTATTGCAAAAAAATATGACGAGACCTTAAATGTAGTTTGCAACTTTTGGCAACCTCTGTAAAATTTGTAGATGTTTTTCGTTTTGTAAATTTATATTAACATATTTCGATATTTTAAAATCGTTATTGAAGACTAATCATAATTGCATTCATTCTACTATCGTACTATCGATGACTAATCGTAATCTATTAATCTTCTAATTTTTTTAAATAGGACTTCAGAAATTTTAAAGATTTTTATTTGGTTTGCAGATATTCTTCGCACTGGGAATTCCCTTAGATATTCCCGACAAATCTGTAGCGGTGTCATTTTATTTCGAAGCAAATTATCCATTACCATTCGAATTAAATTCGAGTTACTTCTACGAGGGAACTTATTATGCAAAACGAAGTCTTAGTCGCCAATTAGTATACAAAGTTTTCACAAACAAAATAGACAAGTAAAATAGAGCTACCTTATTAATTATTCTTCATTTCATAATTCTGCAAAATTTTGCCTAAAATATAACTTTGCAAATAAAATTTAAAAAATTCCATATGTATTTTATAACAGCTTCGGCTATCCTGGACTGGATTGTTTATTGAGAACAATCTGCGAAGCTGGAAAATACTCCTTAAACGAAAACGGCGTGCTTGGTGACATTCTTCGAATTATATTCACGTAAGTATGAATAAGAAAAACTGTTTGAAATTATATCGAGTAAAAAATTAAAACAACAACATACTATAATATTATACATAATAACATATTATATAAGTTAATAATTTATAATAGCAGCAATAAATAAGAGAATGGGAATTTAAAAAATTGGATTTCGATTAGCTCATCTGATGAATTTTTATTTTCAATCAATGTTCATCCGGCAGGCGTTCATGTAATCATTTATCTGAATGATAAAACCAGTAATATAAGAATTATTACATTTGAGAGTATTTCTTTATTACAGACCCTCTATGTCGATGAGTGAAGATCTTCCGGATGAAATTATCGAAGCCGAAAGCGAGCAGCACTGTAATCAGCGCTACGAAAGATGTCCCGTGAATCTTTTAGATCTAGCAAGCTATTAGTCAGCACTAAATGAATAATTCTGTATAATTATATTGTATCGAGAATATCGGAAAAGTTCAGTAACTCATATAATTTATCAAAAGATTATATACTAAAAATCATTGTAAATTTTATCAGATACATAGATATTTATATATCTGTTATATTAAATAATGTCGATAGGATTTTAGCGAGGTTTAACAATATAAGTAATTGATAAAAGAAATTGTGTAAATTTATTTGGAACAAATAAATAATAAAGATCACAGGAATTGTGTGTAAATGTTTCAATTCGTTTTCTTCGCAACTTGTTAGCCTTGTGCTTGCGTTTTAAATTTGTTCTTAAATTTATTCATTACATACATATATATTTATATTTCTTAAAGCTCTTTTTTATCTCAACCTAGATATATATATCTACTGCAACATCAAACTTATTAATAAAAAATAATATTTATCGATATTTTAATATAAAAATATCATAATAAATAATGGAATTAAATTTTTACGTTTTATTCTATGTTTAATCAAACTGAACGTGAAACCTTTTTAATTTATATAAAACAGACAACATTAGAAAACTAATAACAATCATAATAACATAATTGCAATTAGATATGTCAATACGAAATCTAAATGTATTTTTTAAATACCCCTACCTAACGTACAGGAAAAAGAGAAAGATATGATATAAAAATATAAAATTTTAAATAATTTGCTTTCTAATAACACATGTCTTTATCGTCGAAGACATGCATTGTTATATACAATATCATTAAATGTTCGTCGAAAACATGCATTATTATATATATATCATTAAATCTTATCTTTCTCTGTAATTAAAGAATTGGTAATTATAACACGAAAGAAACATAATCTATAAATACTATTGTCTTTCGAAAACTGTTGTAAATTAAATTATGCATGAAAAATAAAAATGCAATCGATGCAAACAATGCGAAAAATCTCTATCATTGGTACATTTCAAACAAGCACTCGAAAACTATCATTTGTATTTTCCATTACTCAACTCTTGTTTTAATCCGAGAATGATTTACACAGGTCACTATAACATTAGAAATCTTCTAATCTATCAAAACTTTTCTGTCTAGGATGTTCTTTTAAAAAATCAATATAAGATTAAAATAATTATAATGAATACAAAATGAAATGTAACATTCAGAAAGATATTTAAAAATTATCTATACAAGATTTAAAGTCGTTATGAGACACACTTATTATCTATCCTATCCGATAAAAATATTAAATAAACAAGTAATGAACTTTCTTAAAATTATTATTTCTAATGCTTGCAAACCTTTCGTAAGTCAACTTCAGTCTCTTCGAATATTAGCGAGAAATTTAAATCTTTGTTTTCTGAGGCTTGTATCTCGAGTCTTTTCTTCACAATGGAATTTTATTGTAATTACAAATCACTGGTTTCCACATGTGTCAGACGACTATATGTATTCATACGACTCCGAACAGCTCCGGATTACACGTGTATTTTGGTAAAGCTCCGAGAGATCCCCTGGTTTTACCTTACTCCTTCAGTCTGCTAATCGCAGGTACAGTGATCGCTTGTTCCACGGTGGCACGCCTGGATTGCAGATAATGAAGCATATTTTCGTAGACCACAAACGTGATAACTGTAGCCGGGGTCACTCTGGCGAGGTTAACGCTTAAACCCTTGTAAAAGCCACGCCAACTCTCATACCTGTAACGAACCACCAGCAATACGCCTTTGTTTTACTTTGCTTTACAACAGACTAAAAACGCGAAGAGTTTTGAAGCGTTATTAAATTTAACCCGCGTACGATTCTTGACGCTACATCAAATTTATTATAAAAATTCAATTGAAGAACACTATTACTCTCTTTCGTCGCTTTAAGAGTTTTAAATCATGAATCATTAGAAATAATATCTATTTTCTATCAATGTCAACCATAAAATCTGTAATTTAAATAAACAAACGATTAAACGCGTATAAATTCGAAGCAGTAAAATCGAATTATTCTTCTCATTTCATTCTTTAGTTAAAAATTCAAATTTAATTAATTCAGACACAATATATGTATATCCGACATATCCATATGTAATACGTTCAAAAATCGTACTGCTGGTGGCTTAATAAACAAATCGCAACATACTCGATAATTATTCAATCACAATACCTTTCTACATGCTATTTATTCTAAGCATAAGACCATAAAAATTTTAATGCAAAATATATCTAAAAATATATATCTAAATTAGTTAATTCGTAATTAAATGATGATGACATTCTTCTGTCCTTTGCGCTGTAAATAAGATATTAATTAGAAAAAAAAGAAGATATCAAATTAGGTAAAAATTGAATAACATAAGTTGAATAATATGAAATAGTTAATAATTAATTTAATAACAAACACTTTTCGATATGTGTGCGTGTGTTTATTAATATCGTCACAATATTGTTTTAAGTATACTCCTTCGCTTTCGATCCCATGACTCTCTTTCCTCCAAAGAAACAGATTCGAGCTAGATTAACGGCTAAAGAAAATGAATATAAATAAATTTGTCCTACTATTTACAGATTGCAGTGAGAAAACTTATTGCTATCGATCATATGTTCCGAGTGCCAGACTCTACGATCCTTGCAAAATTGGTCTATTATGGACTCTATATACTTCACTTAAAATGAGGTAAAGTATTGGCTACAGAGGAATAGAGTCACTTCATAAAACAAAAAAAAGGAAGAAGGTAAAATGTAGCGAATTTACTATATTTCTTAAGGCTCCTGAGTGCTCAGTCAAAAACTCTACGTTAAGGTTCCTGTAATAGGAACTACTCTGCGTTGACGATGGCGACACAGAATCGGACGGCGGCTTGGCAAAACCGGTAGTTACACACACAAGCACGAGCCCATGTACATACATGTACTTTCCTTTCAGCGCACCGAAAGCGAACACATGTACATGGGCTCGTATTCGTACACTGAGAAAAAAATGCTATTGATTCAATTAAAGTCTATATTACAGGCTGTCACTAACATAAGTAATTAATTCATGTATGTTTTCGTTAACATAAAGGCCTTGATTATTGAAATAATAATTTATGCCTTTATGTCAATAAAAATATACATGAATTAATCTAACTTATGTTAGTGACAGCCCGTAATATAGACTTTAATTGAATCAACAGTATTTTTTTCTCAGTGTATGTGTGTTACAGCGCCTCATCATGATAAATAGTTGAATTTATAGGCGTGGAAAAATGACGTTTTGACGACGAAATTTGTGTTGCATACCATTTCGTTATATACTTAATTGTAAAAATGTGACTTATCTCGTACTTATCAAAGTCGTAATTATCGACGAAAACTAAAATTATCTTGGAATTTTATATGAAGAAACGTATTTTTCACTTGTTTCAACAGCTATCAAACCTATGTTTCTGCTCGAGTATAGGCTCACTTTACGTGCCTTTTACGACCATTTACTGTCAAGGGAGGAAAGAACAGTTTTCGTCGATTTTTACAAATATTTTAAAACGATCTCGTCATTTAGATTTATTCTTTACTCACAAATGGCACGTAACATAAATTAACATTCCTCGCTTCTGACGTCACAATTTCAACATGGCCGCGGCGACTACTCAGGAGTCTTAAAACTTAAAAAGATAAATCGCTAAATTAAGCGATGTCTAGTCCGCACTGAAACTTGTCAAGCGAAGACACGGAAATTATCAAGTTACACATGTGATTCATACACATTATGCGTCAAAAATTGTTCGAAAGTTACACAGATAATAAGCATATCGTGTGTGTTATTCGTATAGTTACGTAAATATTTGGTTATTAATTTAACTATCCAAGATTACACCGTCTGTCGACGTGAATCGGATATATTTTTTCTTATAGCTCTTGCATTCGAGCATTAAGTATCTTATACTATAATAGTATAAGATGTATTACTCTCCTCGTTTCCTTTCGCATCACCGTACGCGCAACCAAGCACATCTATCTAGGTTTGTTCAACTAAATCCAGTTTAGTTGACACTCAGATATCTATACACCTCAGCAAAGAAAAGATGATCATATTCATACGTTCATTTGTGATGGTGTACTTTGTATAATGAGAAGATATTTCATTTAAAATACATTTTCGTTATAACAAAACTATCCTTATATATATGTTAACCAACCACAAATTCCGGTATAAATTAAACACATTTGTCACGTCGAGAAATAATGTTATTCATTTTACATTATAGCAGTCTCTCAGAGTACTTGGATAAGACAGGATGAGTGTTTGAATAAATAAAACACACATTCTACATACTATACGTGCCACAAATTGCCATTTCAAGATCTATTTCTCAGTTTTTAATCGTCGCATTTTAATTTATGCGAGAAGTTAAAACGGCAATAGTAAAATCAATTATTTTTCCACATCGAGTGATTCCTTTTATCACCGTATGATTCTACAAACCTAATATAAATTAATAGAAATACAAATAATAGAAAATATCTGCACTCACTTTATGAATGTCAGAAAAAAAAATTATATATTACCTACATATCATCTACAACAGAATAGGATAAAAATTGCTAATAATCATTTCGATCATTCTCCGAATTTTCCAAAAATACTTCAGATAAAAATAATTTCGTAAAAAGTAAAAGACTTTCTCAAAAAGCAAAAATAATTCTGTACTGTAATCTATTTGAATGATACGTAACGCATATAGCATCCACCTATATTTAAAGAAAAAAAAATTGAGTACTACGGCCTCACATCATTGAAAGATCATACACGTATTCTGCGTATCAAACCTCAGAAATGAATTTTCATCATAAGTTTTAGTAAATCAGGAGATATACGCACTAGATGAATAAGATTAAAAAAAAATTGCCTAAAAAGTTTCCTTACTTTTGCAACAATAAGATATCAATGTAAATTAACTACCGTTAGTAAAATGCTCGTAAATAAGAATAATCAGACATATGTTTGGTGTAACATGTAAAAGGTATGGTGATAAGCCTTTATAGAAACCCCTAATCCCTTCTGACCTCCATGTGCATTGAATGCAATGCCAGGTACCCCGATAATCGTGATGATGATCCTGAAGTCGTGCTCTCACTACTTGATAAGGGTATGTCGACGCTGCAGCGATCAGCTTCGACATCGCCGCGAAGACGATGTATTCGGTTGTACTCTGCAATCATATAATAGAAATATTTCTCATTTTTATTATTTTTTAAATATTATTTTATTTATAAGCATTTCTTAAAAAATCCAATTAGAAATTAAAATACTTTTTATGTAAACAATATTAAGAATCTTTATTTTTTAGACCGCATATGTGAGAACACAATCAATACTAAAAATTAGATGCCTATTAACAGTCGAAGCTGGATCTTCAATGCTTAAATAATTCAATCTTAAATTACTATATATACTATATATATACTTGCAAATATATGATACTGAGACTTATAAGACATTGATGCGCAATCCCGTTAATAAAATGTTAACACAACTTAAGACGTTTGCGGAGCGTTTAAACGATTTATTTTATTATTTTTGGAAGGTTTCCCAAACTTTCCTGGATAAATAAGTATTTTTTATGAATGTACGGATTCCAAAATGACAATTGCATAGGTTTTAAAGGTGTTTGGTCATTTTTACATACCCTCCTTTATTAATAGTTTTTCAACATATTAACATCTTTATAGTATGTCTGATTGAGCATCAAATTATTAAAATTGCTTGTCAATTTAATTCGCGATTGCTAAAGTAGTTTAATTGCGTTTATAATCCGGAAAAACAATTCGATGATTAGTTCGATTTATGCAAAAAAAAATACAGATCAACAAACAAAACATCGCTAATTAAGAATTAATACGCGCAATTAGATTCATTTTAGTCTATTTTTTCTCAATCATAAAAATCTCAATAAAAATATAGTCAATTTACCAATTTCGTATCGATCGGTACATTCAGGTAGTTATAGTATTTATTCTTCATCTCTTCGTACGCCATGAATTGTATTGCACCGTGTGAAACACCAAACAATCCAGGAACTAAACCCTGCAATAATACAGAATATTTTCTTTATAATCACGTAAGCCGCAAATAATTCTCATTTTATTTAGAATACAGTTATATAATTCGAAAGTTTGATGAGGAAAATTTACTTGCCTTATATAAGCCTCTAATACCCTCCGTCTTGTAAATCTTCTTTAAAGCATCAACCATGCCACGATATTTCTTGGACTCCGCTATTTTCACATCATCAGCATATTGTAAGCACAGCCGTGTCTTTACCACCCAGATCGGATTGGTCATGAGCAATGTAAGCACTCCGGCATCAGCGGCAGCGAACATATGCATGGATGGTCCGAGAGGTTTCTTCGAATTGCCACCTTGGATCGAGGTTTTTATCGTGTTGTAGCTGCAAATCAATTCGTAAATATTTAAGAGTACATACAAAAAAAATTTTTTAAAAGACTACAGTACATAAATAACATTATTGAAGGATTTTGAATTGAGATTTTTATTGCAATTACAAGATTAATTTTTCACATTGACCTAATTATTTAATCCTCCATCGCTAATGTAAATTTTTCATCCACAATGTGGATCCTAAAAGCTTAATGGAAATTTTTACATTGCTTTGGACAGTATAAAAATCTGAAAACATTTTTACATATACCTATAAAAGGTCTAACAAATTTTTACTTATCATAAAAGTTGGATTGTGTTTTATACTTATTATTTACAGATTTAAATTTATCTACCAGAATTCACACACAATAAAAAAATCGACTGTGCTTAAAATATTACCGGCAGAGATTAATTACTTGAATTTCAAGACCAATCTAGAATACTAGCAATCAGTGATCACTACTTACAAGAAAAAGTAGAAACCCCACGAACTGCCCGATCCTAGAACATTTGGTGTTACACCCCTGTAGAGTCCACGCACACCCTCGGTTTTAACGATCTGAACGATGGCATTTCTGAGACCGTGGTATCGCGGTGCTGCAGTTGTTTGACCATCATTCACTATAATCAAAAGATAACAAAAATTCAAGTAAATCTCAGCAGTTTGGATTTGTTTTACATTCTTGTAAAAATCGTATCGTACGATATCATTATCAAAACACATAATGTTTTATTGAAACAAATTTCTGTGCCGTAACTATTATTTATAATTATAGTGTTTTCTTCGTATCTTGCCTGCCCTCGCTATCAAATTATTGCCGATAATGCATCGTCTCGTGTTAGAGCAAACCCATCATTTTTATGCTCGAATACGTTCATTTATATATCCCATTACATGCGTATATACATATAGACACTCTTTATCGCTGTAAACATTGTAAAGTTAGTTTTCATATCGCGTCGTTGTGAAAAGGCAGCGTTATCACCTTGCGATACTTCTTACTCTCTTACTGAGAAGTTTCCTTCTTAAATATGTATATTCGTCTCAAAGACACATATAGTAACAAAATGGATATTTATTTACAATTTAATTCTGTACATTTTATGTTATCGATAATAAAAAAAAACATAATATAAAAGAAAGCGCTAATATAATATAAAATTTAATATTTATAATTTTTAAGATGTAAAATAGAATATAAAAACGTAAATATATTAATATTGATATGCCTCTGACTCTCAGTATTAAAATATCAAATTTTAAAATTATCGGACAAGTGAGAGTGGTCCCGCAGTAATCGTTTGTGTAATCCTTTTGTAATACCGTGTATTTTCTAACTGCTCGTACGAGACATCATGTAAGCAGTTAGAAAATATAAAAGGATTACATAAACGATTACTGCAGGACCACTCTCACTTGCCCGATAATTTTAAAATTTCGTAAATATACATTACTCCCATAAACATATTATTCCTTTCGAAGATGGAAAGAGAAATAAACAGATATATAAAATAATTTTATATCAAATCATAAAATAAATATTTATGCCGAGAGCATCTTATGCCAAGTTCAATGAAAAATAATAGATGAAATAATATCACCTGACAATATCAGATTGGCAGATCAAAAAGAAATGACATATCTGCAGATGATGATTGTATTTCGTTTCTCTCTGACTTGCTTTACAATTTACTTTCGCTTTTGTGGATGACTGTGATTTCACACAGCTACAAAGGCTATCTTCATTGCGATTTTATATCGATATACTTCTGACTGATCAAACGAGCTCATGAGATTTTCTCCACGAATTTCTGCATTAATTTAAAATCAATTTTTCCTCAATAAAAATTTAGAGATTATTTAAAGCCACAAGAACTGTCTTTTTCATAATTTGCCAATTCTCAATGTTAGATTAATTAAATTTTTTTAACAACTATAATAATTTTGAAATGGAATTCATGTGAAACTAATGTAATCAGAATCAAAAAAATAATAAATCTATTATTCAAGTAGATGAAGCGCGAAAAATGTTTCGCTTTCACATTCATACGTATAACTTTTGCTTTATACAGGGTGTTTGGAAAGTAATGATAAATCTTTCGCATAGGGACAAAACGGACTAAACTGAGAAGAAAAGTCCCCTTACAGAAAAATTGTAAGAGACAAAAATTGTTTATTTTCTTCTTATAAAGTTCTGAGAATTTTTTTAGAATCTTGTAATATCGTATTTTCTCATGTTGGTAAAAACAAGAAAATGCAATCCTAAAAAGTTAATAAAAAATTCTGAAAAAATTTTTAGAGTTCTATGAGAAAAAATAAACAATTTTTATCTCTTGTAGTTTTTCTATAAAGTTAATAGTATTTGAGTAAAAAATTATTAAAGACCAATTTTCGACAATTTTTAGCAATTAATATCTTATTAACTATTGCTAAAATGGTAGAGAACTTTTCTTCTCAGTTTAGTCCATTCTGCCCCTATGCGAAAGATTTATTATTACTTTCCAAACACCTTGTATAAAAAGAATTTTGAGAAAAGAGCCAATCAATTTTACAATCTCTTCTATGATAGAGAAACAGAGAGTAGGAATCATATTATTTTATATATTATTTATTTTATTTTATATTATGTTTGTATATATCTATTTTATATTATTTTCCTTTTACGTTTTTTTTTTCTAAATACGCATTTTCTTGCTTGTAATACTAGTTATGCTTGTAATACTAGTTGCACAAATAGTATTCAATGATTTTACGAGTCTTCATTAATTATACAAGCTATAGAATTTGAAAGAATTGTTCTGTTGTAGTCTAGATTTATAAATTAATATTTTATATATGTATATTTATATACATATTTTGAAACTTGTATACATCTGCAAAAAAAATATTGATCTGCGTATTCGTAAAACTAATATTTCGCAACTATATACGCTTATGAATTCGTAAACACAAAATTTCGGAGTGACTTTCGAGTACTTTCAATGATTCGGTCGACTACGTGATGAAACGATTCAATAACGAACGTCACGTGTCACTGACGCAACTCGTGGAATTCTCGTGGCTTGGTGCTTGGTCGACGGCCAATGAATATTCCGTTTAAAATACGACACACACGCACACGTGTGATGTATAGGATTTATTGCAAGAAATGGATACATCACACAGGTGTTTCTTGCAATAAATCCTATTCACTTCTACCTAGAAAAGTATTTAACGTTCAACGCGTATATTTCCATCTTTGTCCAACTATGATGAATTAATTGAAAAAAATCTTTATAAACATGAGGAACTTTCCTGCTTAGTTTCCTTCACTTATTGTTAATTTCGCCAATTCAAGGTAAACAATCAAGAAGTTATCAGCAAGATCTTTAAAGTTTAAAGCAGCTGAACTTGGAATGCCATTTATTGATCCGATATCAATAAATCAACTTGTATACGAAAATTAATTATACCTTTTCAAACAAGCAAGCAGAATAGCTAATTGTATTTGCATCGAATACATGAAATTGTTATTCAAAACAGCAATTTATTTGGTTCGACATATAGTAACTGCAGATGAAAACGACTAACACTAAAACGAAAATTTTCGGTAACGTCAAATCCTATTAACAAAACTATTTTCATTTTTTGCAAACTCGTGTAATAAAGTTTACTTGTGATTAAACAACAACTACCTAATGAGAATTATAATAAAGATAAGATATTACTGTTCACACCAATATCAAATTAACTATAATCTTAGTTTAACTTACCGTTTATATATATATCTTTTTCTAATTCTTAGAATTATCTTTTCTTAAAATTCTTAATTTAGAAAAAAATAAAGAATTGAACCGAGATTAAAGCTAATCTTATGATCTTGAAATCGGGTCTAAACGTTGGACAAATTCCAAAGTTTTAGTTACTAGACAATTCAAGACAAAAGAATAAATTTTTCAAAATACAGAATGATGATTCGTAAACATAAACATACATTTGCTCAAACAATAATTTTTTAATTTTATATATATTGTATATTATTATATGTATGTATATATTACATATTATTATATAATTTAATTTGACGTAATATATTGAATATTATATGTTAAATTTACCATTCTATTACATTTATGTTAAATATAATAATAAATAAATCAAGTTAAACAATATATCGATTTCTAATGTAATACAGTACCATTAAATTAAATCAATTACATATTACACTTGGAACTGTAGAAATAATTTATGACGACATACAACAAAGGCTCATTCATCTTGTCGCAAAAAACAAAATTACAATTTATGATTAAAACTAATACAAGATATTTCATAATAACTTTATCGAATTCTTATTAAAAAAATTTGTATATTCGTTGCAGAAATTATGATTACGTAATATAATCAATATTTATCAGAACTAAAAGAACAGGACGTATTGATAACGACATAACGTGGAAATAATAGATGATAAAATAAGTTGTATCTTTCGTGTAATATCAGTAAATAGTAAAAAAACATTTATGTATATCTTTAGAAACTGTATCGTTAATGAAGAATTATAAACTTAATTCTTATAAAAAAAAAAGAGTAATAATCAAAATTAATTTATTTAAACTGAAATACAATCGTTTATTTTTAGTTTGCGATAAATTTCTGTCAATATTAAAGTATATTGATGGAAATTTATATTAATTTATTTATAATTTATGATTCTATAACATAATTAATATAAAAATTTATTAATACAAAAATTTCCCTTTTAAGTATATATTTATTTTCAACAAAATAACTTTTAAAGCTTCTGCATTTTTATAACACGACACCAATAATTATCTAATATCCCTGATACATGTTTTTTAAAACAAATGTAATGACAGTAACATAAAACAACGGTCATTGTATTACTAAACGCGAAAACATGACAATTACATAATCACCATGTCGGTCATCATCACATACGATTAGAGTGAAATACATTTTACGAGGTTAAATACATGATATACACAGTATCACCGTATTAACTCGACTTCTTTATTGAGAGCACGTGATGAATGTAGATAAACAGCTTGCCGTTTATCGGATATCATTCGGAAATTCGACATGTCCGATATATGAGACCGAAATTTTTCTAACGATGTTACAATCTTTGCAAATTAAAATTAATCCATGGTACTTTGTTTAGTAAGGGCAAATATTCTTTAAAAAGAAGAAAAGAAGAACCTTTTTACTTGAGAATTATACTTTTGGAAAACTTAGGAAATTTATCTTATCCACTTTGATAAACGAAAATCTTTCAAAAGCAGCCTCAGTAAAGATAGAAGGAAGAACAAAAAAGAAAAACCGTTAGAAAGAATAGGGACGTTTTCACTTAAGAATTGTTTTTACTAGTCCTTAGAGAACTCTTTAGAGAGTCTGCTTTGGCAAACTGGAGATCTTTCAAAATTGTCTAGTTTTCTTTACACTGTATTTTGTATAATTCCATTTTCGACTGTTGCCTTTGATCCTAAATCTACTCCTAAATCTATAATCCAATTTATATAATTTTAGGCCTATTTTACACTAACTACAATTTGCATTACAACATAAAATTCCATTTACAATTTTCGTATATGTTTTAATACATATGTGTATTTTAACC